GGTTAATAGTGTTAGCAGCATTAGCGTGGTTAATAGTGTTAGCAGCATTAGCGTGGTTAATAGTGTTAGCAGCATTAGCATGGTTAATAGTTTTAGCAGCATTACTGCTTGCTTTTGTCTCAAGATGATGATGTAATAACAAGAGCTGAGCACCAACAGCAAGGCTGCGTTCCATTTCGAAATAATTAAATGTAAACTTTAACATTTAGCCACGTTTGCATTTAACTTTTACATTTAGGATTTATTATTTAAATGTAACATTTAACATTTAAATTGAACATTTAGTAAAAATGAGCAAAATGAACAGTTAGCTAAATAACAACAAAATGTTGTAAATATTTTAACTACAATTTTACACTAAGAAAATGAGCTAAATAATGAAATGTGATTTACACAGTTCCAGTTGCAACAAAGTCATACTAATTTCTAACAATGTCAGTTCCCTTTGGGATCAATAAAGCTATTTTTAATTGAATTGAACAAGTTCTGTTCACATAGATTCAGATCTTTGTCCATCTTTTTATAAATCCTCTGAAGTTCAGTCCAGTTGGATGAGGACCACTGATGGATCCAGTTGGATGAGGACCACTGATGGATCCTGTTGGATGAGGACCACTGATGGATCCTGTTGGATGAGGACCACTGATGGATCCAGTTGGATGAGGACCACTGATGGATCCTGTTGGATGAGGACCACTGATAGATCCTGGTCTGTCCTCAGATGTTGGACAGGTTCAAACAGGTCCAGGACATTCAGAGTTCTCTCCATGTCCCTCTGTTTGTCCTGTTGGATCCAGTCTGAGGTCCTGGACTCTGTGGACCAGGTTTTTATTGAGGATATCTCCAGATCTCCATCCAGGCTGCTTTTAACCCTGCTGGGCMAGGTCCAGGACCAGGTCCAGGACCAGGTTCAGTTAGGAGGCCCGTAGAGGTCTGAGTCTTTCAGGTCCAATCAAATCAATGCAGTGCAGGTGGACTCCAGTCCAGGTGTGGAACCATCTCAGCACAGATTAGAAGAAACCTGAAGAGTTTATTTAGATATAACGGTTTTAATGAACAAACAGTTTTTATAAACTGAACAGAAACTAAATTCTGAGCTGTTTGATCTGAACAAATGAGGTCATGTTTKTTTCTGTGTGAACAGCTGAGCAAGTTTATGAATAAAACCCAGCAAATGTTTTTATCACTAACAATTAACCTGAAGATGTCAAACAGCAGGATTATCTTCTGTTCCAGGAAATATCCAGCACCGCTTCCTGAACAACTCTTCTTCTCCGTCTCTGTCGTCTGTTTRATGCAGCTCCTCTGAGCCTGGCTGTAATTTTAATCCTCACATCCTCATTGCTGACTTGTTGCTTAATGATCCTGGAAAAACAAACTCWGCCTCGTTTCAGCTGAAGTCTCGTATTAGACTTAATTAAAGCCAAACATGTAATATTTGCTGTTTTCAGTAATCAGACGGTGTGTATTTGACCTTGAAGGGTGGACTCGCAGGTGGCAGCAGGTTTTATTGGTCCTACACCAACAAAAACTGGACAATAACATCAGGGATTTGGAGACATTTGCTGTGTTTTATGGGTCGGTCAGCAGAATAATCAGGTTCTGCTGTCAGATTAGCTTTTTTTACTGAAAATTTGAGGGTTTAGATTAAACAGAAATTTTATATYAGGAGATAATAAATAAATTATTTAAAATGCATCCTGACAACTATGGAGAGCCATTTTATTCAAAATACAATAAATAAATAAAGTATTAATAACCTGTATTTGTCCTACAAATGACGTTTTTCTCAAAATATGTTGCAGAAGATGTTTGTTTTTAAATAAAAACCTGCCTGCAGGGGTCATTTAGACCAACTGAAGCTGAATGAGAACTGAGGGAATCAACAGGCTGAGATGAGTTGAGTGGCTGCAGCTGGGATGAATGTGAACAGGGAACAGGTGAGGTGGGCGTGGCAGGAGGAGGAGCAGAAACTAACTTTATAAACCCCAGAAACCAAACGTCACAAATGAATCATGACCTGTAAAACCTGGAAGGAGGTCTGATTGTTAAAAACTCATCTTGTCGAGGTTATTACTGATAAATCTGAAGAGTTATTTTATTTAAAGGATCATGATTAGTTGTAACATTAGACTTTATATGATAAACATATACTTTAACTGTGAAATAAAGACTGTAAAAATAC